ATCTCCTTGCTACGTTTCTGGACCTTGATCATGGTAATTACATTGCTGTCTATGGGAGGGTCAGAGAGCTCTCAGAATTCATCAAAAATATCTTTATTTGTGTTCCGAAGATGAACAGAGGTCTTACGGGTTTAGAACGACATGAGGGTGAGTAATTAATGACAGAATTTTCATTTTTGGGTGAACCTTTAAATGTACAAGACTTATCATTGATTTAAAGACTGACACCAAACTCCAAACTGCTTGTGGCTTCTGTGGGCAGTGAACACATCCTCTTACTAACAGACCTGTGTCTCTGGGTTTTTTAATAGTCAGGAATCCTAATGCTGTGACTGAGACTGGAGTTTCAATTAACTCATTACACAGAGATGACAAATGTATTCCGCTGATTATTAACACCATGGAATCAAAACAAAGTCCTTAGCACCTAACTGAGCCTACACATTACTTAGTGGCAAGAATGTACATACGGTCTCCAAACCAATATATTTTTTTCTTTTTTTGATATAGAGAAATCCTCTCTCCTCTCTTTCACTCATAATTACCTTAAAGTACAGCTGTAATCTGTGCCAGACAGGCCTGGCAATAAATCTGAGAGATAAAGTTAAATTTAAGATTAATGCCTCATTTCACATCTACTGAATTCTTAATGGAAATGTGTCCTGTTTCCCAGAATATACTCCACATCATGCATGTGCTATTTTTGAAGGTATTATACCTTAAATATGGCATGCTGGCAGAGTTCAGGGTGAGAGCACTTCTGACTGATTATTCAGTCTTCACTGTTCCTCAAGGGTTTTTAATCAAATCTGTTACCAGGGGTCGCCCTCAACGAAAGAAGAGGAGTTATACTGACTTTATGAGTATTGTAGTAAATCAGCTCAAAAGGGAAATATTTATGACTAATTATAACTAGTTATGATTAATAATAAATATTTAGATTAGATCTTCGAATTAACTGTAGCAGAATCAATATCACCATTACTTGATCTGTCCGTCCACCGAGCAGACAAAATAATCATTTATCAATTCAAAGAAAGATTATTTTCCTGGCCAAATAATAGAGTAAAAGGTCTTTACGTGTGTGTGTTTGTGTGTGTTAGTTTGCTTGGTCAGCCAGGCCCATTGTGCCTGGCCCCGGGGGTCATTTACGTCTCTTTGGAATGTGTTTGAAATTCAATGGGGAGACGAGAGTGGTGAAACTGTTTAGCATCTCCTTGATAGTGGGGGGGGACCATTGGCCATTTAGCACCCATATAAGTGTAAAGTCTGTGACCAGGACTGTAATTTATATGCAAATGTCAAAAGCTAAAAGGGTCTCTTAAGCCATAAAACCCCAAAGATCATGCATGATTCTACGCAGACGCTACAGTATTTAGATTTATTACCAGCATCCTATAAGCCAATTAACCTCACAAAGCACAGATAGATGCTTCATTTGGAAATGTCATGGTAATTTTACAGGTAACCTCTTAAAGTGGCAAAAAGGTCTCTTTGGAATTCATATTAGCCAGTGCAGCCTGTGCAGATAATCACAACAATAGGGGCTTTTAGAGGTATAGTTTAAAGTTTAGTAAGTTCATTAACACTGTAATTATTTTTAAAAATTTTGCTATTTAAACAAAAATGAGTCCATCAAGCGATTAAAATTTTTAATCTAATTAATTACACTATGTGCTGACATACTGTATCTGACTGGTTTTTAACCAGAAGTCTTACACTTATACACTGATCTCTACATCGACTGTCAGCACCCGGCAGCATCAAACCAACATCACTGTTTCTATGTATATACAAACCGCAATGTTTGCACAGAGTGCATTATTTGCACTCTAATGTTTTTCTTGGCACTTGAGTTCAAGCCTGAAGCCAGTCACCTGCTTAGCTATTTGCCAATTACACTACATGCACATAATTAGTTTTGTAAAGAAAACACTGAAAATATAAATGCTGATGTGACTAGAGCTTCCTCTCAGGCTGAACTGAGTAGTTAGTGAGAATGGCAAACAGCAGGTCCTTATTGACCAGATGAAGCATAGTCTTCCTCATTACACATGCATATGTGCTAGCACAGCCAGTCCTATAACAAAATATGAGTCAGCTTTACCGAAAGCCCTTATAATAATAGATACACTCTGAATTAATATCCTGCTTTAGCATCCGATTTCACTTTCCCCCCCATCAAATCAATACCATTCTGCATTCCCTCAAATCTGTCATACCACAGTTCCCTTGTAAAATAAGTAAACAGATAAGCAAGACCATCACTTTTTAATGTTATTGAAAATTTCATATGTCTGTTTAGCTTATAAAGTGGTCTGCATCAATAACCGCATTAAACGTTATTAATCAATACCGACGCAGAGAGCACTGGCAGCACATTGATGCGTTACGTCAATATAGCCTACATTCCCAGTAGTGCTTCCTAAAAGTCTAGTGGGTTGGCTGCAGAATGTGTATCCCAGTCAACACGTGAGATCATGCGATGATCACAGTGACATCACACGATCCTCATACTGTGATCCTCACGGTTTGAGTAGTATATGAAATCATTGTGAGTTCACACAATCCTCATACTGTGATCCTCACGGTGTGAGTAGTATATGAAATCATTGTGAGTTCAAACGATCCTCATACTGTGATCCTCACGGCGTGAGTAGTATATGAAATCATTGTGAGTTCAATCGATCCTCATACTGTGATCCTTGAACAGAGTGGACAGTGAAATCCTGTAAATACAGAGTGATAAGGAAAAAAGAAAAAAAATTCAAACCTGCTTTAAAACACAGCAACACAACTGTAGATGTATAACGTTACAACAGTAACACTGCTGTAACTTTTAAAACACGTTCATAATTTAGAAAATGTAGTTAATACTTGCATCATTAATGATTTATTTTATCCACCCGCGACCCACCCGCAAATAATCAGAATGCATTTTTTTATTACCCGACCCACCCGATCCGCGGATTATCTGCAGCGCCCGCGGATATAACCGCCATCCGCGCATCACTAGCACACAGTGAGTGCGCTGTGTGGTTACACTTTTAGTTCACTGTGACACACACATTGTGACCACACCATGAGAATTATGTGAGCTCATGGTGACATCATTGTGAGATCAAATTGTTGACTGGGATGCATCCTCCTACATAATATATTAAACAAAGCATCAGCTTAAACACAGGAAGTTGAGCGGTACAGTTATCGAAAAGGATGGCCAAGGACCAACTAAATGGACCAATAAACCCTCTCATCCATTCTTATCCACCCAACAGCCCCAAAATCAATTCCAATCAACCAGAGGTCAGAGGAGAGAGAGGCTTCTTGTGCCCAGATACTCACACTCACTGTACTGCTGCAGCTGGGAGAATTCGGCTGGGCTCAGACAGACCCAGTCTCCCATCTCGCAGGTCAGAGTGCTCGCGGCGAGCCTGGGGGACCACACTGATCGTCCTCAGGTGAGATATGAGAAGGACATGGTACGATCTGGCATGATTATGTCACCTTTTCTTAGTAACAGATGGTGAATCGGCGTCCCCGACGTCGAGTTGTGAAACGAAGGAGGGACACAAGGACAAGGGCAGTGTGAAGGCGAGGCGTGCTGCGCCACCGGTAGGGGCTGGGATTGGAGTAGCTCTGCGGCGTGGAGGTGCCAGGTGCACACGGAGGAGCAACTGATGACCTTTCAACTGATGTAATCTATAGAGAGAGAAAGAACAGAGTTAGTAACGCCTCAAAGTAACGCCAAAAAGCTGATTTACTAAGATTTGTGGTAGTAAATTTATTGGTATTTGCACCATTATTTAACGCCCCAAAAAAGCATGACTAAACCCATTTTGGACCTGTGTCCTTAGAAGATCACACACACTTGGTTATCATTGGCTCTGCTAGTTTGTGAGCCTGTGCTAATTTGCGCTGCTGCTGGTAGACTGTTGGTCATTTTGGATGTGAACTGACTGCATCTGTGTTCGTTTGCGCACTGTCAGTGAATCAACCACAAAACGTTTCACTCCCATCTACGCTTTTATGGAATTGCTTTCTCACACTTATTTGTCCTGTTTAGTAAATCAAGCCCTTAGATTGCAAAGCCATTAAAATAAACATGAATGACATATAGAAAAAAATATTTTAAAGTGAATTACAAAAATACTAATATACCAGTAAAAAATATTTTTAACATATTCACATATTATTATTATATATATATATATATCATAAATGTATTTGATCTATTATAGGTGTATGAAATCTCAAAAATAACATCTGTAGTAATTCTCTCATTTGTTTCCATTTAAGGGATTTTAGAACAAACATCTGAGACCAGGTTTATACTTTAAAAACAAATGGGAACAACATTAAGTCTCCTGATCTAAGAAAAAGCAACCTCTGAGTAATACTATTTTACTCATGGGAGACAGTTAAAAATAATTATCTCTCTCCTCCTGATCTAAGAAAAAGCAACCTCTGAGTAATACTATTTTACTCATGGGAGACAGTTAAAAATAATTTTCTCTCTCTCTTTTTTTTTTTTTTTTTGACAAGGTGTACAAGTCATGCTGTATGCTGTCTTTGCCTTCATTTGGACATTTCGTTAGCTCCAGTTCACCCAGTTAAAAACAGCATAGCAGTGCTCCTCTGTATAGCTGAGAGTTCAAAGGGCCTCTCAGCAAATGACTCACATGGGCCTGGCCTGCTTCTGTGCTCAGCATGCCGTACCAATCAATGTCTCTCGCTCTCTGTCTGCTGAATACTCTTGTTCTGTCTCTATTTCTCTCTCTCGTTCTCTTTCTCTCCCTGTTCGGACACTCCCGATGAGTTTAAGCAGAGAGAAAAATCAACAGCAGTATGCCAGCACATCCACAGGGAGGGAAGAAACTGACATAAAACCTTTGCGAGGAGAAGAGGCATGAAAAACTGCCGTGATGAGAAGAGGAAAAGACAAAAATCAATGAAGTTGATAGGGCTGCCATGAGTTACAGCATGCCAGGGAGTAAGTTCATGCCCACTGGTTTAAATGTGATGCTGGTTGTACAGAGAAAAGAGCTTGAACACAAGGGAGTATTCATTCAAAATTCATACAAAGGAAAATAAATCGTTCTTGGTTGAACATTAAATTGTATTAAAAGTTCAGCCTCAAGATGTCATGCACCACAATACAGTAAGCGTTTGTTTGGACACACAGCCTTTGGCATCAACAGCAAAATATATTGGAAGTGTTAGACTTCACAGACTTCACTAAATGAGCGTTGGTTCACGCATGCGTGTCAAATAGACGAAGTGGAATAGTATGAGAGCGCAATAATTCTGCCTAAAAGGTCAAATACTTTGCAAGTGGAAGAACTTCAAATCTCTTCCTAATTGTAGAACAGAACCATATACTGCAGTACAAAGAGTGTGTTGCAGCCAGTTGCAGCAGTTAAAAGTTTGTTCATCAAACCACTATTTAAAGGGGTCCTATTATGCTTTTTCACTTTTTCAACTTTAGTTAGTCTGTAATGTTGCTGTTTGAGAATAAAAAAAGATCTGCGAAGTTACAAAACTCAAAGTCCAATTCAAAAGGAGATAACAGAAATCACTTTTCAAAAACTACAACGAACGACTCGTTTGGACTACAACGCATATTTTCCGGGATGGGCTTTGTGATATCACAAATATCGACGAATGGGATGAGACCTGGTTGAGCTGCACTAGAGAAGGGAACGAGTGTTATCACTATGTCGGAGGCACGCTAGCTTTCCCAAGGCAGACGAACTTAGAGTAGTTACGATCATCCGGGTTTAAATCGCGCTCAAATTAATTTGATATTGACGCAATATTTACACTGAAGCTCGCAGGCGGCTATGGTAAGGGGCATGTCATTTCCTGACCAGGCGCCGAGTGGTGCCAATCACAACACACACTGGCCTTGCTAACCAATCACAGCACATTTCGTATTTCAGAAGGCGGGCTTTCATTTGATACAGGAACTATTCGAGTCATCATGCCAGACTGGGGAGAGGTGTTGTAATAATGTAAAATATGTGAAAAATAATGTGTTTTTCGAACAACCTAGTATGAGAGCCTGTTCTAGTACACCCCCAAAACAAAATCAAGACTTTGTAAAAGAGCATAATAGGACCCCTTTAATAATAATAATAATAATAATAATAATAGTTTTATTTTTTGTTTGTTCCCCCGCTGTACCGAAAACATACCAAACCATGACTTCAAAACAGTTACGCACTGAACCATTGCTTTTGTGTACCGTTACACCCCTAAAAATATAACATTGTAACAGCGCAAGCAAAGGAAGCAAAAACTGAAAAACAAAAAATGGATGATAGAGAATGAAAGAGCAAATAAAGGGCAAAGTATGGCCATCAGTTGTGAATATATATAGATAAAGATCTTGGTGTGCTGGTACAGCTGTATTAAAACACACAGAGAAGTAGAGATCATCACTGAGTGGAATCTTGCCTGTTATTCTCAAGTCTCAAAATGAATCATCCAACCCAACTAAACTTTCTGAATTGAGTTGTATTATGGACCTTTCAGACGAGAGAGCAGTGTGGTTATTATTCCTGATCTACACACAACATGCTGATATATATTTAACATTTTAAAATATAATCATTACGGGCGTATTACCTCACTCCAGAAAGTTCAGAAAAGATAATTCACACATCAGCACTAGAACAGACACAGAAACAGAATCCTCCAAATAATAATTCTATAAGCTTCTAAATCATTATAAAAAAAAAACAAACAACTAAATTTATTTTATGTTTTATATATGATTGGTTTAATGTATTTGAAAAGAATGACGCATAAATTAGGTGCCACTCCTGGATAAAAACACATCAGCAGGACTTAGAAAACAGGATCTTAATTGAAACATTGTTTTAAATTAAGTTTGATTACCAATGATTATCTTTGTATAATTAAATGACCAATTCAATAATGAAGAATCATGCAAGCTTGTCTGGTAGCATATGGAATAACAGAAAGACAAATAAGTCAGTGATAAAAACACTGACATTAGTGTGTACTGTAAGCATAAACAGCTTACGTTTCCATTAATAAGAGACTCCATATGAAACATCATTGATTTTCCCCCATAACTCATTTTACTTCACAATGATTTATTGGTCCATATATCAAGGACATCATTTTTGTTAGCAACTGTGACTTCAGAGGGATTTTGCTTTTCTCTTGTGGAACATTTCACACAGAGAACCAAAAATAGACCTGAATTATTCCTATGGGACACGGCCCAACGTAATAACTCAATATTTTTGATTCCCAAAATGAAACACTCTTTTCAGCTTGCCAAAAATGACATCAATACACATGATCTAGGATAAATAATATAAAAACTTGTCATAACAATACTAGCCACTTGATAAATATGTGCCAAATGATTAGTACAACATTGTAGCGAACAAAAAAAAGGTTGGATTTGAGCCTTAGTGGTCTGGTGAGAAGGCCTGTGTTTTTGCCAACCATTAAAATAACTCCTGTTTCACACTTCAATTCACGATTTAGCAAAGGTTATTCACAATCTGCAAGTCAGAATCAAAATAACCAAGCTTTTATTTCTTTTATTATATTTCACAAAGCCCTAGAGAGTTCATAGTGCATTTAAAACATCCTGCTCAGATTTCTGCTACATTACGTAAAAAAATGGAAAGAAAAAGAAATGAAAAAAAATCGTGATTCTAGGGATTTTACATTTTCACCATGATGAAAATTCGATTTTTAAAAGCTATTACAATGATCATAAAATGATTGATACAACAAAATAGTAATCGTCTTTCTGCACTGGTTTGTCCAACACATGCCCTGGTGCATTCGATACAGTAATCATCCCTCTTACCTTCACAGACTTCACTTAAAAGTACATTTTAAAAAGTTTAATGTGAAAATGCTTAACGTGGCTTAACGTTCTAAAAACAACAAGTGATTAAGCATTTTCACATTAATTGTTTTAGAATGTCAGCACCTTACACTGCATGGCCGTTTGCAAACGATGTTTTTGCATTCCATTGCACTTCTCTTCCATTGCTTTTCTATGTAAACATGAGCTAAACGGATGTTTTTGGTCTTTACCCTCAGATTTCATGTTTTTCAAGTCTGATGTATGAGCGTTTTTTAAGATGTTAAAGTTTTAAGTTAAAAGAAGATAAAGTTTTAAAACGTGTATCAAGAAACAATGCTTGTATTACGCAATATTTATGTAAATGGTTCTATACATTAGTTGTTGATTGGATGGAGGCATCTACATGCATGCTTTAGGTTGACTGTAAGAAAATGTTGGGGTTTAAGCAGACTAAGGGCGTTTTCAGACCTGTACACTGCTTGTTTTGTTCCGAAACAGGGACTTAACTTGTTACAATGTTGCATTTTCTTCTTGGTTCGGCTTGCTTTCACAAGGCAGCATTGCAAAGTGCACCAAACTTTGTTTATGCAAGTCACATGTGAGTTAAACTGTCCTCTTATTGGTCAGAGTTCACTTGTTTACTTTCATCTGCATCAGTCATCAAGATTGATTGACAAGTTTGTTCCGCTGGCTTATTGTGGCTTTATCTGTAGCTGTCATGACTCCACAAACACTTATCCCGCTCTAACTGATAAATAACATAGAATTATATTTAAGTTATAATATTTAAAATGATAATATAACTTATGTAATGCAGTGGGAATCAAGGCTTCGTCAGGAC